GCAAACCCCACACCAAAAATAGTGCCGACACTTTTAAATATAATTTTAATGGCATGTTGTACATGGAGCTGTGGTTCGAATTATACACTAGGTTTCTCTACCGAATGATGTAGTCCACGAGAGTTTCTCCTGACTTCTATTTTTCTATCACCATGTCTCTAACTGCAATGTGGTGTTGAACCCCGGTGAAGCATTAAATGAAGAGATTCTCTATTATGGAAAAGTTCTTAGTGGGCCCATTGGGAAGCTTGGCATATCACTCGAATGCTACCCATGTAAGGTTGTTAAAGAACTCGTAGAATAAGAGAGCATCACTATCATCCACGTTGCAACAACTTGCTCAAAAGTGTAAAAAATCCTGACAAGGGTTTCCAGTCCTCTTCAACATCTTGAAAAGCATTAGTATGAAGCTCTTAGTATATTTTACAGAATCAAATTTCTCCTGGCAAGGTCTACCTCTCAGAACAAGCGATCCGTCCATTACCTGGGTCATTCTTTCTTTAACTTTTTGTTCAACTAATTGAGTTATTGCTTTTTCTAGAATTCCACTCTGGTTAGAGTCCCTCTTCATTTGGATAGTCACCTCAATCTCCATTGATTCTCTTTTATCATCAAGAGTGTGGAATACCTCCCATTGAATAATTTCAATGGTAGGCAACGGTGTCACCTACGATGAGCTACGCAAAGTTGCCACTGCAGTCATCATCTCCTCAAAATTTTTCTTTAGATGTCTGATTTTTTTATCTAGTTAGTTTATGATCCTTTACAACTCTTCTATTATTTCTTCCTCACTTAGTGGTGGTACTACTCTTGTAGACGAAGTAGCTCGAGTCTCCACCATGTTGATTTCTACAAACTCTTCCTCTATGTCAATAAGAAAGTTTCTATTTTTTTCTGTCGAGAACTATTTAACATTAGATCTTAAATTTTGTAATCTTACTTCTATCAAATGTATCTTTTCTCGGGGACTCTCAACCAAAGTGGTGGATTGTATACCCATAACATTAGAGACTTCCTCTGATGGCTTATGTCTCCACACATTATTTTTATGTACAAGATGAGATACTTTCAGAGGTGTATCGTCGTGTGTGGGTGGGTACATACCCTAGCTCGTAACATCCATACCAGTGAGTTCATACTGGCAAATGTTTCCTTTTCTTTTATTAGTAGCTCATCAAGTGTTGGTGGAAAACCTGGACGGTGTCTCGGTCTAGTTTTGACGGGAGAATGAAGGTGATGTCTTTATGTGAAGGTGATAGTGTTTGCAATTTTAGGCCTCAAATGAAGCTTGACAGACACCCGGACTGAAACAGTTAGAGTATGTCGATCCCTCAAGCGGCACAAACACTTCCTCTGGAACCATTTCATTCAAATCAGATTCCAAGGCCAAAAATCGGAAACGATATACTCCCAATGGGATGATCTGATAGTTCTTTCATCTCCATGAGCTTTAAAGTCTCGACTTTGTCATTTTTCTTTTTCAAACCTTGGGAACCCTTGCTCTTCAGCCTCTGAGGCACAACCACTTTCAACAATTTCCCTGAAATATCCATATCTTCCTTAAATATCTCTCTCATAAAAAAATGATCAAAGTAATGGTGAATTCTTAAGAAAAAGTGAAATATAAGTACAAAGCCTCCGTCTTATAAGTCTCAACAAAGACTTGCACATTTATTGTAAATCATACAGAGAGTTAACACGAAAAACATTTCTTATAATTTTTTAAATTATTAATGTCACTATTATTGTTATTTCTTTCTCTTACGACTAGAAAATTGTTCATCAACGAACGTAGCAAATGTTCATAAGGTACCTGTTTCAAATGACCTCATTAATATTCTCTGACGATGTCAAAAGACCAACATCATCACACCCTTAATAATAGAGAATTCTCAAATTCCTCGCACTCTATTCCACTACTTCTTAAAGGTATAGATCTCATAGTGATTGTAACAATGTATACCCATCATTTCCTAGTGAACAACATGTGTTCTTACATAGGGTAACTCAGTAAATTGAAATCTTTCTATATCCCATATTAATCATAACAAGGGAATGAGTTGCTTGCTACACATAAAAATCAAATGCTCTTGAATGCGACACATTCCACAATTACACAAGAGCACTCGTGACTACACTATGCAGATGTAGCTTCCAAGCCCCTAGAAGAAGGAAAATCAGAGCTCAGTAGTAAACTCTTGTGACTACTTTTCAAAATATAGCCAGTAAAAACTTACTGTCAGTATATAACAACATTTTGTTGAATATGAACAATTGTGTCTTTAAATAAACACTATTAGGGCATAGTGTTTATTGTGAGCTTATCATCTCTCTAGTCACACATAAAGATGATGTATTCTCTTATTTTCTCATATTATTTTGTTGAAGAGTTGAGAGAATCGAGAACTAAATGTGCATCAAAAAATAGATTTCATTAGCAACCAGATAGCCCAAATATTAAAAGGGTCTCATAGGCCTAACATATCAAGCCCATTAACCATGAACTTGATCTTCTGACTCTGACCAGGCCAATTGTGCCCAATAGTTGTACTTTTGGTAGTGACAAGCTACCGAGTTTTTTGTTGCACAAAACGACCTAACGAGTACTTTTGAAGCTCGTTAGCATTCATGCTAGTGCCTCCTACCAGGCTCACCACTTATAAGCCTTCAAGCGAACTCCTTTGGCTGAGTTTGCTCATATTTTTTAAGTTCTCTTACTAAGCTCGCATTTACCAGTAAAACTCTCCTACCGAGCTTGTTGATAGCTATCTGGCTGCATCAACGAGCTTGACGAGTAATTCTTTGATGCTAAAGGAAGAGAAAACTGTTATATCATCATGTAAACATCTATTCATTGGACGTTTGACATTCATACCATGGATCTTATCAATGTCGACTCTACTTAGGATTCGTATAACACAGCGCGCACACGCTCTATGGTATATAAATATGTGGAATAAGGGGGAAGCAAAAATTGCTCGAACTCCCTATAACAAATTTTCACCTCCCTTCCACCTCTTTCACAAAATCTTTCCCGAATTATATGGGTTCACGAATAATACCAGATCATACGTTCTAAATGAATTCAACAATACCACACAATTCTAATATATTTCCATTCCTAACACCCAAAAAATTAAATTTATTTTTATAATACTTTCTATTCATAAATTTATATGAAAGTGTGTATTTCACTTTTAAAAAATTAAGTAATAGTGATATTTTTTGATATAATGTCATGTATTAAATACGTAAATATATAAGAATTTTGTTGTATCTATGTAAATGTCCCATTAATATAATATATATTAATAGATTGCTACTTATCATGTGCTCTCCACAAAACTAATTACATAATCAATATACAAGTATTTCTCTCCACTAAGCCCACTTTTTTCCATGTCCTTTGATTTGTCTTTTATTCTACTTATTTAATTATTTTTGTGCATTAACTTAATGTTAATTAAATTGCCATTACAAAATACTTGAACGATGGATTCCGTTTATTGACATTCTGGCCGGCGGTGATCACAGCAAAGCGCGCCGGTAAAGGCAAAAAGCGCGCGCGCACAGCATGGGAGTGGCCCTACCGTAATTTCAAGCTCGCGCTGACCCTTATTTTCGTTTTTTAATGAAACCCCTGAGAGGTCAGTGGTGACCTCCTGCAACGTTCTTCCGGCTGCCATAAACAGAAACAATTGGGAAAGATTTAAAACGAAGAAATAATTTGAAAAAAAACGGTAATATATTATCTGTCATTTCCAATTATGCCCATTTTGCGTTTGCTAATTTCCCATGATGGTCATGTGAAAGTGATCTTCAGAACCCGAACAGCATATTTCGATTTGGGCGACTTTGGAATAAAGTATTCCCTCCATTTTTCTGTTAATTAATAAATATTATTTTACTTTATTACTTACTTGTTTATTGTTTAATTACCGAAAAGATAAATTAATTTCGGCTCCCAAACTCGTCGTTCCCTGCTTTCCCCCTTCTACTCTTTCACAGCTTTTGTCGCAGTCCCTGAATCCAGAACGTGAGCGGTTTTCCGGCGAGAGAACGGCGGTTTTCTGACTCATAGTTGGTTTACCTTTCAGATAGTAGAGTGGATGTAGTGAGGAGTTATCCTGCGAGATTCCGGTCCTCCGCCCATGTTGCTCTAATGGTGGGAGCTGGCTGAAGCTGTAGGGTTTCGAATCGGATGGTAGAGTTGGCTTGTTTACACTGCTGAAGCTGATCCGACTTCCTAGTTTTGGTTTTCTTGAGTTTTATGGTTTTGTATGGAGGGGAGGGAAGGCATGCCTGCCGCTGGGATGGGGACGAAGGTGACGGAGGCTAGCCTGAGCTTCCAGTCGCCCCCGCGTGCGGCGGCGGCGGTGCCAGGTGCAGCAAGAGCGGATAGCCTTAGTCTGGGCGGCGGTGGAGTTATTTCGCTAATATCTCAGGCGACGGGAACGCAGGCTGCCGCTGCGGTGGCGGCGACGGGACCTCCTCCATCGCTGCAGCAGCCCGTGAGAGTACAGCTCTATCTTCTGCTGTAGTACCGTTTGGGTCGGGCCCGCTTATTGGGCCGATGAAGAAGAAGAGGGGGAGGCCGAGGAAATACGCACCAGATGGAAGCGTGCTGCCGCTGAACCCTAAGCCGATCTCGGCGTCTATGCCACCGGGGGACTATTCGGCGCCGGCGGTGATATCCATGAAGCGGGGTAGAGGGCGGCCAGGTGGTTTCTTGACGAAGCAGCAGCCGAGCATCGAGTTGGAATCGCTAGGTAATACCATCATTGCTTCCGCCCTTTGCTATTCCATCTGCTATGTTTCTATTTCACCTCCTTGGGAGCATAGGTTCGAGATCTGACATCCTTACTTTACCATCTCTGCTTGTAAATTTTAACTGTGATTTACTGCTACACACTCTCTTACTGAATCTCGAGCTTTTTTTGGTGTTTTATTTTATTTACTTGTGCCAATTCTGGTTGAATTTGGCCTTTGGAACTTTTTGGAAACTACACAACTTTGCGGCTTCTTATTTGTTTTGTTGGCGTGCCGTGCCCTTATTTTGTGTCTTTGTCACTGGTCTCCATCTTCCCTCTCCCATTCCCTTCGCATCGGGTAGCGTTGCTTTCAACTTTGAGGTTTGGGATAGTCGTTGTTGCGCAAGGTCAGTTGGGCCTTTTGCTCCCACCACGGAATTGGGAGTATACTAAGTATCAATTTCTAACAATTACTATTAAATTGTCTCCACGTCTGAGAAAAATAGCCATTGGAACTTTGTATGGGTGCGTGGGTCCACTGTATGAGACTGGGTTTTTCAGATCTGCAACTACGGATGTTCCTACGAAAGGATCAGTGGCCAGTGATTGATGTTGGAAGATTATTGTAATGAACGCAAATCAAAATGTGGGATTTTTCGCTCGTCATACCAAAAAAAAATTTTTTTTTTTTTTTGGAAGGAAGCTCTTTCTCGTTTTTAAAAGATGATTTTTTGGGTTGATTTGGTCGCTTGGAATCTGGATCACGCTGCGTCATCATTTTATACAACTATGAGCAGTCTGTTTTTTATGGCCTTCTCTATCCATCTTTTTGTGGAGCTAGCTTTAAACCTAATTTGACCTGTAATTAGATCGTTGTTAAGAAACATCAATGGGATGACGAAAAAAATTGTCAGCCCAATATATTGGATGTGGAATCTGATTCGGATGCAGGTGTCATTTATGTGGGCCTATTTGTTGTAGTTATCTATGATCTTGCTATCTGGTGGTAGTGTTGTTTTTGTGATCACGTGACAGTCTCTTGTTGTTGAAGTTAAACCAACATCTTGTTTCTCGCCCACATGCTAAGCAATAAAATCTGATTTTTTTTTTTTTTTGGGTAAATAAATATTAGTTCAATGCCCAACTGTTTTTGTGTCTTGAATTTTTTGTTGGCATGAATTTCATAAGGCAAAAATTTTATGCTGGGATTCCACTAAGATTTATAGATTAGTTAATATGGTTTTTCTTGCTGCAGGGGAGATGGTCGCATGCTCTGCTGGTGCAAATTTCACACCACATGTAATCACTGTTGCAGCTGGTGAGGTATGTTTAACTGATTTGATAAATTTCTGTATTTTTTTTCTATGCTTTATATTTATTCTATTTCTATATTGTATTAAAAGGTGAGGCGTGATTAGTGGAGCATATAATTCTAATAGTAAGCATTAAATAAAGCCTGCAAAGTTATTTTAACTAATTTCTTTTCTATGATAGTGTTGATTGTTATTATTTGTTAGTTTTTATTTTTTATTTTTTATTTGTTATTTGTTTTCTGTCATTCTGTGTGCACGAAACATGAGTGCTAGTTCTGTTTTAAAATTCGTTAAATCTAATAAGAATACTTATTCCACATGAAATGAAGTTTTGCTACCTTGCAACGTTTTTAGCTTTACTAGTAACAAATTGGCACACTTTATGTTGGATTCTCTTTATCAGGTAAGTTTTAGGATGTTGAAGTACAGTTGAAATGTATGTTTTTTGTTTTTTTTTTCTGCACCCATTACATATTGCTGCATTATACATTTAGCAAAAGTAGTGTAATTGTCTTTCATGTCATACTAATTTAATTTGTGGTCTTGATCCTCTGTAAGTTTCTCAATTCTTTGATGCAATGGTGACCTCATTTGCTGGACATCTTTCTTTTTATCATCATGCTATGTTTTATCCCATCAGCTTGAGGGCTGCTTTGTAGGTCCACCACCATTCGTTCATTTATAGCGCTAAATTTGTTTTCACTTGTCTTTTTTTTTTCTTATACTTATTTTAATATTGGTCCACCTTTCTTTCTAAATCATTTCATATTGGTTATATTTACCATAATTACTAGCATTTATTTGCACATGCTTAAATCCTATAGTCATATTTTTACTATTTTATCTATAAATGCTTCTCTCACTGTTTTTTTGCAATAATAACTTTTTGCTTTATGCTTATTCTATTTTACATGTATTTTAAAATTTTGATTTATTGTAACCTCAACTTAACTTTCAAACTTTTTTGTTGCTAGGAACTTGAATCTCTTTTGTATGTTAGTTTTATTACAATTATATAAAATTATCCTTTAAGAAACAACAAATATTCTAAGATAATAATTCTTAATGTTTTTTTTTCCATTTTAACTATAATTTTAATTTATTTTATGTACAAACAACGACAAAACTTTCAATTTATAATCAAGAAGTTATTTCCATTTGTAGTTTTATAAAACATTGCGGTAGATTCATTTAAATCTAATCTACATTTTTCTTTGCCACGAATGACTTCGAGAGTTATGATGTTGCAAAAAAATATTAAAAATTTTGAATGGAGAATATAGCCTTGTATTTTCATCCAAGGTTGTTTTGTGGAATTTGAGACTTAAACACAATTAGAGAGATGAAATAAGGAGAGAGTATTGAATCTAGTTGGTGTCTCTACTAAATTGGTCCCAAGAGAAGGATAAACTTGATAAACCTAGGATTGGAGTCGGAGTTGATAAGAGTTGATAAGCCTAAAATTCAGTAAAGAAAGAAATATGATGTAAAATCTTTGAACGCATGAAGAATGTGAAAAAAATGTATGATATTTCTTCACGTTCACACTTGATGTTGTAAATGCTTTTCAAGTTTACTTTATCAACTTTCTAGATGAGATCTACACTTGTAAATGCATTTCCGTACATTCATGTAATAGTAATTTATAACCCACCTTTAAGTTTTTTTTCATGGTGTGATGCTTGATTTCATTATTCTTCAAGTAAATCAAGATAACAGTGGAGAATCTTTTCATTTTAATCTTTTTAAATTATTTTAGCTATTTCTATTTGAAGGTTAAAGGTTCTTCATTTTGATATTTTTGAACTTTTACTTTTCTTATTTTTATTTGAAGGTGCAAGTGGTGAACACCCCTTGGCTAGATAAGTTGTACTGATCAGTAGTGAAGCTTTTGCACCATTTTCTCGGAGAAAATATACTTTCTATGTTTCTAAGGATTGTATAGTTTGTAAAGTAAATAAAGTGACAAATAACAATTTGTCCAGTCTTTTGTTAATGTCTTCAATTTTCATCGTGTGAAGATTAAGACTGAGTTTATTAGTTGTTTCTATTGGTTTGTTCTTTCTGAGATTATGAACATGGGCGAATGAGTCAAATTTCTTATTATTTGTTAGAATTATTTATCTTTTTTGTTTGCAAAGTAGGGGCTAATGTATTTGATGATGATTAATGGAAGCCAATAACAACACAGGTTGTCAGTCCTAATAAAGTTTCAAACAATTGTGGTTATTTTCTTGGGGATTACCTCTTCTTCTATACATTATGTGAAATAATCGATCATTATAAGAATCAAATGTCTTTGTATGATAGTCAATATAAATGAGCAAAAGCCTCTTTCCTCAGATGATTAATAATTAATGGTCTGCAATGGATTACAACTTATGTGAATGTTTTAGTTGCAAGTGATCAAAATTTCTGGCATTCAAGACTTCTTGGCTATGGTCGGCGGCTGCAGGAGAGAAAAAATTTCATCGGATCATTGGTGTAGAAATGACACTTTGCTTCAACTCATTCTCTTAGTCTCGGGCTTCCCCTAGTTTAAGGTCTAGGTCCTCTCTCGTAGGGCTTTATTTATGAAGTCTGAGAGATGTCTTTCTGCAAATAAAAAATTCAGATCACTCTTTTTGACGGCTCAAAAAAATTTCTTTTATTTGTCGACATTCTATGAACATTTGAATAATTTAATGATATCATAATTGAGCAATTGTAGGATGGATGGATTCATCTTGTTGAGACTTTGGATTTGACTGTAAACTTGTCAGGTTTGCAATCTAATTGATCTTTCAATTTGGCACTAAATTCTTCCAGAATTGCATAACGACTCGATTTGGGCTTTATTTGAGGCCAAGTCGGTCTCGTCGAGCAGATTAGTTTAATTGTAAGTTTGCTGAAATCGATGTTTTGGATGATTTTTAATTGGAGTTTGAACATTTATTGCTAAAAAATTACTTCGAGAACCTTGTTCACTTCTCAAGAGCCATGCTGGATAATGAAATTTATCGATGGCGTATTAGTTGTGCCAAAGGAGGCGGCGGAGAGCAGAGGTGGTGGTCGTGGCGGCAGTGACGTGGTGGCAATGACGATGACTCGTGGTGTCAGAGGTGGAGCTGGCGCTGGCGGCGGCGCGCAATGCTGAAGTTGTATGCTGGCTGCGACGACCGAAGGCTGTGGAGGAGGGGAGCCAGAGGTGGAGGTCGGTGGTCAGTGGTGGCGGTCAAAGGCAGCGGCGGCGAAGGGGCCGACCGACAGCCAAAGGCTGAGGCCGACTGCTACAGCAAAATTGGCTTCAATCGGATGGCATAAAGTGGAAGTGAGGAGGACGGAAGACTGCCATGTAAATGATATGGGGACATAAAGAGCGGGCGGCCATGTTAGTAATCTGAGACAGGAGCAATCTGGTGAACGAAATGCAACCATGTTAGTGATTCATGAGTCAAATGAAAATTGGGCAGTCTTTAGTTTATGAATTGTGCATTCTACATGCGATTCAACGTGACGAAAAATTAGAGTTTTCCCGTCGCACATTTCAAAGGGGATTCTTCACTAAAAAAGTTGGAGTTTTCTTACCTTCAACAGGGGATTCTTCGTGAAGATTTGATTTTTCCCACAACACATACGTGAGTGAATTTTTTGTGAAGAAAAGTTGGAGTCTCCTCACTGCGCATTCCTGAGGGGATTTTTCGTGAAGATAATTTTGGAGTTTTCTCGCCATGCATTATAGAAGGGACTCTTCGTGAAGAAAACATTGAGCCTCCTTGTTGCGCATTTTTAGAAAATTTTCCGCTTTGTTGTGATACCGATATCTGGAGAATCTCGCCCTCTAAAAGTTGGCAGAAGTACCTGATTTTTTAGGAGGCGATACTGCCGCCATTTGAAGATGAGCTGACCCTTTTTTGATGGCATGGATGACCGAGCGTGCAAAGATCGATCGTTTCATTAGCGAGCACAAAAATACAAACAAATCCTTGGTCAGATTGTAGAGACTTTACTGGCTTTTCAGGTGAGAATTTAGTTGTTGAAGAAAATATGAAGTCATGGACCTCCCAATGATGAGGAGGATGCTGTAGTGGATTGATATTTTTATTTCTACTATCTTATTATAGCTTGTGTACCAATGTGTGTTGGTTATTATAGTCTTTCAATCGCCTGATATATCATTTATATACGGTGATAATGTGCTTGCATGTATGTCTCTCTTTTGTTTGCTTAGTAAAAATTTGATGTTGCTTCTAATGTTGCTTTTGTTTTTTCTTCTGAATTGTGGTTGACCCTCTTCTTGGATGTTATCGCCCAACTTTTTGGGTTATTGTTGATTCCCTTGTCTCTGTAGTAGGAGCATAGTTGACATCGAATTTTTCTAAGGCTTATGCTTTCTAAGATTCTTTTGCTTCTCAAATAGTACTGAAATCTGCAATCAAAATTAGTATATTTGCTTTGATGTACCTTTTGAAGCTTGTGCCTTTTGAAATTTATTCCTTCAAATATTCGTGTCTTTTAAGGTTTATGCCTTTTGAAGTTTTTTTGAGCAGGACACTGTCAAGTACAAGCTATCATGGAATTCTTCTAGTTAGAAGTGTATCCAGTACCAGGTTTTCATCGAGACTTGGCTCATGGGCGCGTCTTCTTGGGGTATGAATGGATTTTTTATACGCCACTTACTCTCAAGGGGTCTCTCTAGTCAGAAATATATTCATTACTAAGTTCCCATCGAGACTTGTTTCCTGGGTACGTCTTCTAGGGGAATGAGTGGAGTTCTGCCACTTGTCCTCAAGAGGTCTTTCTATTTATGAATATATCCACTACTAACTTTTTATTGAGACTTGCTTCCTGGGCTCGTTTCTAGGGGTATGAGTGAAGACCTTGTTTGCCACTATGAATGTTCAACCTTTCATAGGTTGTTAGTTGAAGCGCATTCGCTTGACTACTATAGCCTGTAATGGATGAATTCAATGAGAATCCATCAAGCATTTTTGACTTGTCCAAGACTATTGGTTAAAGCTCTTGCTTGAC